TTTTTAATATTTTATTATTTTTATTTTATGAGTATGCATGTGTTGCCTACATGTAGGTAAGTGCACCCGTGTTGTGTAATGCCCGCGGAGGACAAAAGAGGCTGTCGGATCCCCTGGAACTGGAGTTACTAACAGTTGTAAGCTGCCATGTGGGTGTTGGGATTCGAACCCAGGTCTTCTGCAGGAACCGGCAGTGTTCTTAACTGCTGAGCCATCTCTCCAGCCCTCCATTATTTACTTTTTAAAATATTTTTGTTTTATGTGTATGAGTGTGATGTCTGCATGTATGTAAGTGCAACTCTGTCATGCAATGCCAGGGGAGGTCAGAAGATGGCGTTGGATCCCTTGGAACTGGAGTTACAGACCGCGGTTGTTAGCTGCCATGTGGGTTCTGGGAATCGAACCCAGGTCCTCTGCAAGAGCAGCCAGTGCACTTAACTGTTGAAACATCTCTTCAGCCCCTTCTTTTTTCTTATTTTTTAAAGACAGGGTGTCTAGCTCTCTTTGTTATATGGAGCCCACCATATAACCCAGATTTGGCCTTGAACCAGTAGTGATTCTCCTGCCACAGCTTCCTACATATGGGATTACAGGGGTGTGTCACCACACCAGGCCACAATCTAAATTAATAATAGGAATTGTTTAATGCTGAAAGGGTAGGAGGACATCAGACAAACTGCCCCATGTAGGGGTCAGCTAAAGTACTTCAAAAATGTTGAGCAGCGTGTAAGCCATACTCCCTGCATGCATTTTTCTTAGTACCTGGGAAATTCTTTTTACATTCCTCCACCCAAGTCAGGGCAGTCTGGCTAATTTTACTGAGTCACTAGGACTACAGGGGAATGTTGGTTATGGGTGAATACTCCTAGAAGGAGGTGAGCCGGAGACAACTGATTTCACATCCCTCATCCCTCCTTCACTTGGGGGACATGCACCCGTCAAGCCCCTTGGAAAGGATACATGGAATTGCTAAGATCTTCCAGCTGTCAAAAGAAAAAGATTTCTCTTAGGAGGGGGGCCCAGAAGAAACCTGGATGCTCTGGGGGACCCTCTTCTAGTGGCTGTTGAGGGGCTTACAGCTCTTGGATTCATGTATCCTCAACTTTTCACCAGGAGCCTGTGCCTCCCCCACCCTTGGTGCCCCAAGGATCCAAAGGGCCCAGCTGTATGACCCACATTGCTAAGTAGCTGGTCCAGGTTTCGGTCAGCCATGGTCTTCTTCTGTTCCTCAGGCAAGCCTTCGGTGACCCTGTCCTCTTCCTCTTCATCCTCCTCCTCCTCCTCCCCACACACATCCAAGCTGAAGTGCAACCGAGCCAACTTCTCCTGCATCTCCCGAACGTGTTCCAACTGCTCGAAGGAGCATTCCTTTCCTAGACAACCTCTGTCTGAGTCCTAGGAGTCACTTGGGACCCTGGCCCAAGACATACCCCAGAGACCAGGTCCCAACCCAGGACCTACCAAAGGCCTACACCCAGTTCAAATAAACCTATGGTTCCACCTGAAGCACCACCCAACCCAGGACTTACCAAAGGCCTGCAGCCGGCCAGAATGAAAATCATTGAGCAGGTTCAGTAGTCCTCCCTCCATTTCATAGACATCTGTCACCTCCGTCAGGAAGGAGTGTTGAAGGGGTGTGCCTGCAGAGCCGCCCCCACCTCCAGCCAGCACTGCACGGCATTTCTCCTTGCCTACTCTAGGTAGAGTAGACCATGGTCGTGGGTATGGGGAACAGCCAGGCACTCCGAATTTCTTAACTGCTAAGCCATCTCTCCTGTCCCTCATTCTGAATCTCTTGTGTCATGTCTCTGTGCACTAATTCATCTGCCCTATCCACTCATCAACACAAATGGATGTTTGTTCCTAGACCCTTGGGCAGCAGGATTGAATAGAGGGAAAAGAATGAGTGAAAGGAAGTAAGAGGTCAAAAAGGCGGATTTTCACCAGTGACACAGCCAGAGCCATGTCTGCAAGGGGACAGACCCCAGGTTCCCAAGAGCCTCAAGTATCCCCTGTGGCTCTGATTGGGTCACTTGTCCTTTGCCTTTAGTGAATTTTCTCCTTTATTGCCAACAAGGCACCTCCCATCAAAATTGCCTTCCTGTTCCTCTGCCAAAAAGTGCTCTGACTTTCTCCTTTCCCCAGAGTAATGGAACACTTTGGTCGGCCGGGTCTTCCTTCCTTCCTTTCCAATTATATTTCCATGGCTCAGCCCAGAGCTATACCTAACTACAGCTGTGCCAGAACATGTCCGTCAAGTTGGCAGTATGTAAAGTCACAGGGAATGATGGGTTTATATGAAAAATTGGAAAAAGAACATATTGTATTCATGGGAACAAAAATGACATAGGGTATGATCCAAATTCCTATCAATGTTTATTTGTATTTTTTGCTTTTGGGGTTTTTATTGAGACAGGGTTTCTCTGTAGCCCCAGCAGACCTGGAACTTGCTATGTAGACCATACTGGCCTTGAACTCACAGAGATCTGCCTGCCTCTACCTCCCAAATGCTGGGACTAAAAGGGCACGTCACCACCCTGGGCTTTTTCTTTTTTAGATTTATTTATTGTAGGGGCTGGAGAGATGGCTTAGTGGTTAAAAGCACTGACTGCTCTTGCAGAGGACCCAGGTTCACTTCCCAGCACCCACATGGCAGCTACCAACCATCCTTAACTCCAGTTCCAGGGAAATCCGAAGCTCTCTTCTGACCTCCATGGCCCTGCATGACACAGGTACACTCACATACATGCAGGCAATACACATAAAAATAATAATAAAATATTTTTAAAAAAAGATTTATTGCTGGGTGTGGTGATGCACACCTTCAATCCCAGCACTCAGGAGGCAGAGGCAGGCAGATCTCTGTGAGTTCAAGGCCATCCTGGTCTCCATAGTGAGATCCAGGCCAGCTGGGGCTACAGGGAGACCATGTCTCAAAAAAAAAAAAAAAAAGATTTATTTATTTTAGCTAGGTGTGGTGGCACGTAGTTTATATAGGGTGAGTGTTGGGACAGGTAGGGCTACAAGGAGATCCTGTCTCAAAAGATTTATTTTGGGGGCTGGAGAGATGGCTTAGTGGTTAAGAGCAGTGGTTGTTCTTGCAGAGGACCAGGGTTCAGTTCCCAGCACCCACATAGTGGCTAATAATCATCTATAATTCCAGTTCCAGGGGATCTGATGTCCTCTTCTAGCCTTCGCAGGCATTGTAGCATGTGGTACACTTACATACATGCAGGCAAAATACACATACACATAAAATGAAAATAAATTTAAAAAATTACAAAGAATTCAGCAGAGAATTCAAATGGGCTGAGGATACAGCTTAGTGGTAGAGCACTTGCTTAGCATGCCTAAGATCTTGGGTTCAATCCCCAGCATCACTAAAATAAAATGAAATAAGAAAGAACAAATTGCTCCCCAGGTATCCCTTAACCATGTTGGGTTCCCTAACACTCCAAGGCCTGCAAGCTTCTGAGCTTTGAATATCCTTCCCTGTTCAGATGTCCAGCAGCTTCCTTTCTCTCATGTCCCAGCAGGCTGCTCACGCCCTCACTTACTCCTCAGAGATACAGGTTCACTTTGTGTGATCCCAGTCACCCATCTGGCCGTCTCTCTTGTGCACTTGAGGGTTAGGCATTGAGACTGAGTCAGCGGTGAAAGCTAGGGCCAGCACCAGGGAAGGCGTCAATGCTAGGTAGCTGAAGTCTGAAGGCCAGGTTGACCTTGCCGTCCTCCCACAGTGCTCAGTGCGGAGCTGGGGGCCTCCTCTCTTGCCATACTCCCCTTCTGTACCTACCTCTTGAACTTGGCTCGCTGCTTGGGTGATGGCAGATGAGGGAGGCCCAGGGCCAAGGAACCACTGTGGCTGGTAGGCACAGGGACTCTGCGTAATGTGCCCGAGGCCTGTGCTGGCTGGGTCAGGCAGGGCTTGGGACTCCGTTTCTTCTTTTTGTCATCCATTGGGTGCTTGTTGCGTCTCAGGCCTGGGAAGGAAACAACCCCACTGAAATAGTGAGAGATAGTCATTTCTTCATCTAGCCACCCCTGAGTGTCAGGAAGAGCCTTCAAATTTGTGCTCTCCCAGCAGTCAGGGGCCCTTGTCTGTATAAAACCAGACCAGCCTGCTGCTGGATAGGTGGCTGTGCTTGTGAAAGACCTTCCAAGGCTACTCAAAGCCCCTTTCCTCCTGAAAGCCCCATAGGCCTCCCTGAAATGCTTGCCAGTTTCCTGTCCCTGTGGCCCAGTGTGGGTCTGGAAGGGAAAATGCACAGGAAGACAGGGTGGAGATGAACTAGCAGGAGCCCAGCAGAAGACTGGAGGTGTCTAAACTAGGCCCCACTCTGTCCCACTGTGAGAAAAGTGATGGAGGTAAGCAGGGGCATCTGGAGAGGCAGTAGCCTCTTCTACTCCACACCTAACTGCAAAGGCCTGAGGTGCCTACAAGTTTTCTAGGCCAGCTTCTAGTCTCTTCTTTTTCTAGTTAGAAAGTCTCTGGGGCTGGGAGGCAGCTGGACCTCCAGCTTAGCCTGTCTACCAAACAGCCCCCACCACTTAGGCCTCTGGTGTGCTGGGGTTCTCTCCAGGGCTTCTCACTCTAGATTGTCTTGGAGCTTGACCACTCTTCTGGGACAGCGATGGTGGTGTGGGGACACAAGCATTTAAGCTACCATATAACAGCTACCAGGCACCAATGGGGTGGAGTGGAAGGGAGATAAGGGCACAACGTCTGTCTCTCCTGGTAGCAGTGTGAACCAGGGAGTGACTTAAGAGCAGCTGTCAGCTGCCCGTGCCTCAACCTGGGAGGCTGGGAGTGGCCAAGGAATCGTTTAGCCCAGGGCGTCTCGGCTCCAAAATGAGCGTCAGGAACGTCACCGTGTCCCCTCCCACATCACTCCCTCCCCACATCCCCCAGGGGACCACTGACCTGGAGGTTTGGGGTCTGCCGTGAGGAGGGATGCTATTATGTGAGCTTCCTCCGCCCAGGCCCAGCACTCTCTTCTCCCGGGAACTAGAGCTGGTGGGAGCTAAGCTGGCTGGAGGTGATTTGCATTTAAAGAGAAAGTAGCCTTCTTCAGCCAAGGCGCACAAAGAAAGGAGAGCCCCTACTAAATTGTTCCTCTCACCCTACCTCCCAGTTGAACTAAGGGGACTCAGTTGTGTGACATGGATTTAAAACACTTTCCCTTTCTTGGAAGGTACAGTCCTTTACAAAATGGTGGTGACTTTGTGAGCAGGAGACAGGGAATGGGGACTGGGGGCGGGGGGACAGAAAAATTAATATCCGCATAAGCAATATATAAGCATATGAGAAAGGTTAAGAGGTGGCTGCCAGAAGAAACAAAAACAACCGTGTATCAGGTTCCACCTTAAGTATTTTATGCACATTTAATCCTTCTAACCCCAAATCTTTTTTTTTTTTTTTTAAATATTTATTTATTTATTTATTTTTGGTCTTTTTTGAGACAGGGTCTCCTTGTATCCCCAGCTGTCCTGGAGTTCACTATGTAAACCAGGCTAGACTTGAACTCACAAAGATCCGCCTGCCTCTGCCTCTCAGGTGCTGGGATTAAAGCGTGCGCCACCGTGCCTGGCTTATTATTTTTATTTTATGTTGTGTTATGTCTGCATGTAGGTAAGTGCACAGGTGTCGGTGTCGTGCAATGCCCATGGAGGACAGAAGAGTCTCCCCTGGAACTAGGGTTATGGACAGTTGTTAGCTGCCATGTGGGTGCTGGGATTTGAACTTGGGTCTTCTGCAAGAACAGTGTTCTTAACCACTGAGCCATCTCTCCAGCCCCAATAACCCCAAATCTTAATTGCGGTCCCCTAAGTAAACACGTGTCACTCTCCCACCTCACCCATACACTCCTAGCTGGTAAGCACTGATGAAGTGACAGGACCCTGTCCCACCTCCTTGGCTTAGGAGAAAGGTGTAGGGTGGACCAGAGCAGATGGAAGGCCACAGAGTTCTCTGGCACCTCATGCAGCACTCTGGAGGGAAACACACGCTACTGAAAGAGGCGGACCCAGCACTCTTGATACAGGAGGCTGGATCAGTGGGGCAGCTCTATTTAAAGACCTGGCAAAGGCACTTGGTTCAGGCACCCAGAGCAGCATCTGATGCCATAGGAGAGAGCTGCGTCCCTAGGCTGGCCAGCAGGCTCAAATTAAGTACCCCTAGGCAATATACACAGCCACCCCATCCACCTTCCCTTCCCTTGTCCCTGAGGAACAGCAAGCTTCCCTGGGCTGTGCCTCAGAGTTAGGAGCAGAGAAGTGTTGCTTTGGCAGGCGTCCTTCTCACATCCAGACTGCTCTAAAAAGGGGCATGAATTTGGGACTTTTGAACAGCTGAGGGTCAGCACTGCTGGAGTGGTGACAGGGCTCCTCCAGCAAAGCAGCAGAGAGCCCAGGCATACTTCTAGGTTTCCCACTCTCAGCTCCTTCACAGGGAAGCCAGAAGCCACTACAGCGCTTTGCTTAGAGGCTCCCAGAGTTGGAGCAGAAATCCCCTCCCTGCTTCCAGAGGATTTTTGGAGCATGGAATACTATCAGTCCATCACCCCTAGGGCCACATTTCCCAGTAAAGGTGGAGCAAAGGACCCTTAGTTTGCCTTTACCATTTGTTGGGTATTTACCACATACTATCTTTTTTGCCTAACCACCCTTCACCCAAGCACACGCATTTCCAGGTAAACCAACTAAAGACCAGAGACCAAATGAGGTTAAACTTGTCTGCCCTTTAGCAGGGCATCCTCTACTTTAAAAGTACCTTCCCCTGAGGCTGGAGAGATGGCTCAGCAGTTGAGAGCACTGACTGCTCTTGCAGAGGACCTGGGTTCGATTCCCAGCACCCACATAGCAGCTACAAACTATCCTTAACTCCAGTTCCAGGGAATTCAATGCCTTCTTCTGATTTCCACAGCATTGCATGACAGGGGTGCACTCACTTACATGCAGGCAATACACTCATACGCATAAAATAATGTATTTTTTGGGGGGTCTTTTTGAGACAAGGTCTCCCTATAGCCCTGGCTGGCCTTGAACTCACAGAGATCCATCTGCCTCTGCCTCCCGAGTGCTGGGATTAAGGATTGCGCCAACCACGCCCGGCAATAATATTTTTTTAAAAAGTACCTTCCTTCCCCTCACTAGCATGAGCTGCCCAGCTTTAACAAAAATTACCTAGATTTTTGTATGTGTGTGTCCGTGTACTAGAGGTCAGAGGACAACTTGGAGTGCATTCTCTCCATTTCCTGGGTCCACCCTCCCCCCCTGCTTTTGTTGGAGACAGGGTCACAATGTAGCTTTAGCAGCCTGGTACTTACATGTAGCCCTGGGTGGCCTTGAACTCACAGCAGTCCTCCTGCTTCAGCCTTCTGGTGCTGGAATTACACGTGTGCACCAGGTTTGGGCCAGAAGGCAAACTAGGACAAAACTACCTCCCCTCCTGAACCTTTATTAGTGCTAATTTTCCTTTTAAAGACATGGTCTCACTGTATAGCTTTGGCTGGCCTGAACTTATGTAGACCAGGCTGGCCTTAAACTCCCAAGCGCCTTAGGACCACAGCTGGCAATTCTGATGCCTTTATGTATCTTACTATGCCAAGGGCAAACACAAGTCAATCTGCTAGGGTCCTGGGCTTGTGACGACCAGTGGAAGGCAGGGTTTTCTAGAAGATGCAAGATGCCAGGACACAGACATGGCCACTTTGCACATCCAGACAAGTCAGTAACAATGAAGAGGACTAGATGGATCCACAAACATCAAATGACCAGATCAACACAGAAACAAGTAAGGCAATAGACTCTTTATTTATTTAATGTGGTGTAAAATACATCAGTATCAAGTCCCTGGCTGTTGTAAATACCAAAAGGAGACCCCCACACACACCAGAAAACAAAAACCAAAACCTGTCAGCACAATTTCAAACAAGTCTAGTTGGGCAAGGAAAGTAGTTATGGAACAGAGGCAGCCTCTTCCCCCAGGGGGCAGACAGCTGCCTGGCTATTCACCTGTGCTGGGAAGGTGGGAAGGGCTGGGGCAGCACTCAGCAGGCCTCAGCCTCCCTGCAGACACCTGGGCAGCTCCACTGGACTCTGGATCAGCCTCTTTAAATCACATTCATACAGAAAGTGCCTGAGCTCTGCCTATGGTCCATAAACCTCATGGAAAAGAGAAATAAAAAGTGCTGCTGACATGGTGCACGCAAAGCTCAACTGGACAAGGACCTAAACATGAGTTAGCACAGCCAAGGGCTCTGGCCTTGGAGCCTCACCTACTGTGGTCCTCTAGAGAAAAAAAGCTAACAATCTAAGAAACCAACACAGCTCTTGGTCCTAAAACTGAGGTCATGTGCACGGACTCACTTGGGTGAGGAAGGCACTGGCCCTCACTCAGATAGGCCACCTCCCCTGCAGCTGGCCCAGGCCCTGGGCTGACTTTGGAAAGCAGAGCAGCTGTAGTGACTGGTAAGAGATTTGGTCATTGAAGAGGAAGAGAAAGGTTGAGACCACCATCCACACATTGGCCTGGGGGCCTAGAAATGGACAGAGCTAACAGTTGAGGTTCTACCCATCCTAGGATTGCTGGCACATTGTAGCTTCCTCCTACCACACTGCGATCCAACAGCTGCAACCCCCATGGACTTTTAAGAGGTAGCTGAAGTGGGACAGGCCATTATGTGGGCCAGTCAGCCTTTCCATGTTCTCTGAGACAGGAAAATCTCTCCTCTCCCTACCCCTTTGCAGCCTAGGAAGCCCCATGGGGATGACAGTTCATGTACCTCAACCTGGCACGAGGGTGGAGAGGCCTTACTGGATCAGAGAGGCAGGACCATGCCAAATACAATTTCAGAGGGAAAAGACCTTGGGAAATACTCCACAGGACAACAGCTCGCAGTCAGGTATGGCAAAGAAGTCTCACCACTTACTCAGGGGATGCTGCTGGGCATCCTGAATGAAGACACCAGGGTAGCAGCATTTGAAATGATGCCTCCCATGGGGAAAAGGTGATTCATTTGCTATCTCTGGTCTAAGCCACATGATTCAGAAGTATAATATTCTTTATCAACCTATTTTTTTTGGTTTTCTGATACAGGGTCTTGCTCCCTAGCAGACTGGTATGGAGTTCAATCCTCCTGTTGGGGGAGCTGGGATTACAGGCATACATCACCACACCCAGCTCAATTCATGTACTTATTTATGTAGGGGATTTAAGGGCTAGTTGTGAAGAGAGTTATAGGACAGTAAAATACTTGTAATACAGCAAGAAGCAAAATCCCATTCATCCCATCTTGGTCTATGGTTCCCTTAACTCTCTGAAGCTGAGCTCCACCAGCCCTGTTTTTAAAACTGCTGTTCCAGAAAACTGCTGTGTAACCGCTGGTACCCTGGTAGGTGTGCAACAAGAACTTCAGCCTAGAGCAGGCACACACAGAACATGGTAACATATTTGAGGGGGAGGCAAATACAACTCCCTGCAACCACTTTGTTTCCAGGGATTAGTCTGTTAGAAGTCATTCTTGACCTGAAAGACCAGTGGTGGCTTGTGTAGAAGTGAAATCCCAAGGACTGTTCTTTCTTGGTCAAGGTGCTATGAAATGGCACCAGAGTCGTTCTTGACGATTGCTCATTTGGGTGGGGTAGGAGCAAAAACAGACCCATAAGCCAAGGCTGGACCTGGGGCCAAGCAATGGCTTCACAGAGATGGTGGTGAGGAGTATCAGTGGTGACTTCCCAGGACTAAAACCCATAGGCAAGCTTGTGGCAAAGCTATGAGAAGCCTTTTTCTTTCTCTTAATATCATCTTCCCAAACAAGAAACCTCAGCACCATGGCAAAGGACCCGAATGGGGCTGTGAGGAGTGGGCTCCGGAGGCCAGGCACCTGGGGCCACACTACAGTACTCCTCTTCCTCAGAGGACACTACCATCTCTTATGCACAAAAAAAACCTTCAAAAAGAATCCTTTGGGTGATCTTCTGTCCATCACTTGTGCAGGCTAGAGGCACCTGTGAATGATAAGGCTACTGAGAACTGAGAAGCAACATTGGCCTGATCCTGGCACTACCAGAGGGCATGGGAAGCAGTGACTGAGGGGCTCCCAAGCAGTGCACCATCCCATACAGGCACACCCTCCAGTTTCCTGGTCTTGGGCTGGAAAACAGTACAAATACCAGTTCAGAGTGTCCTGACAAAGTTCTGTCCAGGGACACCATTCCAAGGCCAAGGAGAAGCCATGGAGCCTCCAGGGGAACTACAAGAGTCCAAAATGTCCAAGTCCTGCTCACAAAAGAATGGAGTCCAGGCCTGGGTGCTTTCACTTGTCACAAGCTCTGAAAAGGGCTGGAAGGGATCTGAGCCTCAAACCAGGCAGGAAAATGCTCAAGTCACTTCCTGGAAGCTCCCTGTGATGGCAGCTACAGATGATACCTCCTGAGACTCTTCAGGTCAGAGGAGCCACCAACATCATCTGTATACCCCACCCTTGATGCAAGCCCACAGTACACTTACAGATGTAACTACGTAACTGTATGAGGCCTTGCACAAGTGCCCCATCCATGTAATTAAAGACTAACCCACAAAATTCAAAATTGCAAAGTGTCCAGTGCCTACCAGGTCAAACACCCTGGCCTCAGCATTGGGTTGCTCAGTGTGGGAGCCTTGTATGGACCAGGATTGACTGGGCTGCTGCTCCCTTCCCAGCATGCCCAAGCACCATGCTCTCTAGGCGGTGGCAGAGGTGGGCTCCTGGAGCCCTGTTTGGCCTGATCTTTCTGTGCTTGGTGCTCCAGGGCATCCAGAAGCTTCCGTAGCCCTTGGAGGGCTGGGTGCTTGAGTGCCAGGGCCCTCGCCACCCTGTTCCTTGGAGGCAGTGGCAGCCTCTGGCCTCTGCTCAGTGCCTGTGTCAGTGACAGGGCCCTGGCCACCAGCACTTAGGTCCTGTACCCTCTTGTTCAGGTCATTGCGCTCTGTCTGCAGTGCTCGGCACAGCTTTTCCAGTCGCTGGATTTTCACCTGCAGGCCTTCCAGCTCTTTGTCTCGCAGGGTTTTCTAGGGAAAGAAATGGAGCCATCAGAGAAACATGCATTTCAACAAGGTTGGTAGCAGCCCAGAGTCAAAAGCCTTTTAGTAAAAAGCCTTGGTTTAGGGCATGGCTTGGCTACCAGATAATGTATTCCTCTAGTTATCAACCAGATGACCTTGGCAAGGAACTTGCATCTTGAATCTATCTCATCTGTAAAACAGGACTACTAATACCAACCTCAACAAGGTTGGTAGCAGCCCAGAGTCAAAAGCCTTTTAGTAAAAAAGCCTTGGTTTAGGGCATGGCTTGGCTACCAGATAATGTATTCCTCTAGTTATCAACCAGATGACCTTGGCAAGGAACTTGCATCTTGAATCTATCTCATCTGTAAAACAGGACTACTAATACCAACCTCAGGTCTCAAAAGAAGGTTCAAACATGTGGCATATTTAACATTTGGAGAAAGACCCTTCTCTAACAAAAACCATTTGACAAATCTGGCTTACAGCTGCTCCTCTACCAGTGTGTTAGCATCTTTCTTCTACACCAGAAGATGCTACACAGCTGCTCTACATATGAACCACACAAATCAGTAGCACAGCTGTTGTTTTCCTGCTCTTTCAAGGTCCACTGTAGGCCTATCCTGTGGGTGCCCACCTCTCTAAGGGGAGCTAGCTGGCACTGCCTTTGCTTGGATAAACATGCATGAGAATCAAGCTCCGGTTTATGCCCGCAGTGTCACTGACTGGGAAAAGGTAAAGGAAAGGGCCCGAGAGATCATAACGGCACACCCCAGCCTGTAAACCCCCCATCACCTCCTCAGCCATTTCCAGCAGGGCCTTGTTGCTGCTCTCCCAACGGGACCGATACATGGTGGTTTCTTTCTCCAGCTTCTTGATCTTCTTTGTCATCTGTTACATGAAGGAAATGGTCAGAGTTGGGCTCTATGCACCTGTGTCTCCAAGGAACGGAACACTTACTGCATCTGTGCCAACTGACCACCAGGAAGCCTAGAGTTAAAAGTCTACCACGGAAGGCTGGGCGTGGTAGCAAACACCTTTGATTCTGGCACTCCGGAGGCAGAGGCAGGCAGATCTCTATGAGTTCAAGGCCAGCCTGGTCTACATAATGGGTTCCAGGACGGCTAGGGCTACAGGGAGACCCTGTCTCAAAAAGACCAAAATAAATAAATAAAAATAAATAAAAAAATAAGATAGTCTACCATGAAAAGTTGGCGAAGATGGCTCATCAGGTAAGGGTGCTTGCCACCAAGACTAATGACCCGAGTTCCATCCCTGAAACTCACATGCAAGTGGTCCTCAGACCTCCACACATGCTGCGGCACGCACGCACACACACACACACACACACACACACACACACACACACAGACACTCTGTCTACCACTGAAGCTAGGAGAATGCATGCTATTACTTTAAATTTGAGCATCAAAAAGAAACCAAACCAACTAACAATAGTATTAAATTCTAAAAGAATCCCAAACCAAATCAAACCAAACTGAAAACTGCCAACAAAAACAAGAAATGACAAACTATTCCTTCTCTGGGAATGGGGGAGGCTATGATCTTTTCTAAGAGCCTGTCTTTGATATGTGAACAGCTCCTATGAGGGACTGAGGGCAGTTCAATTCTGAATGGAGTGGCTTGAGCCCATGACCACATATGACCTGAACCTTTGATGGTTACCTTTTCCATTTCCTGTTTAAATGTCGTGAATACTTCACTGCTTTTGGAAAGAGTGTTCTGGAACTCTTCAAACTTCTCTGTGTACAGGGCAAGCTGGGTGAGAAAGAAGCATAAAGGCAAGGTTGGGCTTCTCTGCAAGCACCTCTAGTTACACACTCAGCTGTCTCTTTGGCCCTTTGACAAAACAATCCTACTGAAATACTATTTCCTACTAAAACAACCAAAGCCATGTATATAGAAGAATATAAACCAAAATAATAAACCTGAAAGTAGGCATTGGGAAGGCTTTAGCATACTGAGATTTTGGTCTCTTAAAAAAATAAAACCTGGGTGGCTGGAGAGACAGCTCAGTGGTTAACAGCACTGGCTGCTCTTGCAGAGGACCTGGGTTCGAGTCTCAGCACCCACATGGCAGCTAACAACCATTCGTAACTCCAGTTCCAGAGGATCTGATACTCTTTTCTAACTTCCGTGGGCATCATAGGACACAGGTATACTTACATATATGCAGGCAATACACTCATACACATAAAAATAAAACCTGAGCTAGGTACAGTAGCTCATGTCTCATGCATTTGGGTCAGTCACAGCTACATTGAGACTTTTTTCCTTCGAGACAGGGTCTCCTTTTAACTCCAGCTGTCCTAGAGCTTGCTATGTAGACCAGGTTGGTCTTGATTTCACAGAGATCCCCCTACCTCTGCTTCCTGTGTGCTGGGATTAAAGGTGTGTGCCACCACGTTCAGCTGAGAGACCTTTTCTTTTTAAAACTTTATTATTTTTATGTGTACTATTGCCTGCATGTATGTGAGCGTACCTGTGTCAAGCAATGCCACAGATGTCAGAAAAGGGCTTTGGATTCCCCTGGAACTGGAGTTAAGGATGGTTCATAGCCCCCATGTGGGTGCTGAGCCATCTCTCTAGCTCCGAGACCCTTCTTCTTTTTTGGTCTTTTTGAGACAGGGTCTTCCTGTAGCCCCAGCTGGCCTGGAACTCACAGAGATCTGCCTGCCTCTGCCTCCCAAGTGCTGAGATTAAAGGCATGCACCACCCTTTCTTAATGAAACACAAAAGAGCAGAGGTTCAGCTGAGGCAGAGCCAGTCCTAGAATGAGTGCCTTCTGAAGCTACCCTGGAGTCCCAGGTCTGGTTCCACTGTCTTACCTGCTGCTTCAGGTGGGCCTCTTGCTGCTTCATCAGCTCGCACATCCTCTGGGACTCCACTGCCTCTTTCAGGAGCTATTGCCAAGACAGGACCCCAAACCTGTCAGTAGCCCCTGGGGGCTGTGTTTGACCTTCTTTATCCACAAGTACTGGACCCACCAAGGCTACCTGCTCTCAGACCGTAGTCTGGGAAGACAGTGACTGGACTGGCCAAGCAGAACCTTTCCCATTCATACAAATGTGACTGAGTTAATCAGAACCCAGCCCACTTCTTTGGAGTCCCCACCACAGCCCTGGAGCCTGAGCCTCACAAACTCCTTCTCCCGCTGGTGCCGTTCCTCTGCTTCCTTCAGCATCTCCTGAGCCTGCTGGAGCTTGGCATCCACCAGCTGCTGCTGCAGGTCCTTATGTTTGAAGACTTTGTCAATATGCTGTAGGAAAGGTTGTGAGAAGGGTCTGTTTATCAGCAGTTCCCTTTCTCAGAGAAGCATCAACCGTAGAAAACAGGGCACTCTGTCTAGCCTCTCCTCTTGATCTGACATGCTGGACTCCTACATGTACATGGGTGTGGGCCCATGTCCCTGGAAGGAAGGTCAACTTCCTAACCCCATTGTGTCTGATCCCAAAGTGCTACCCTAAAACCCTGCTTGGACATGTACAGATCCCTGGCTCAGGCACTAGAGACAAGGCACTGTGGATCAAGCTGGCAGATTCTTGTCTATGAATAACAACAGAATTCATTTGAAGGGAGCAAGAGGAAGAGTAGGATGAATCCTTAAGAGTGCCATCCCAGTGCTTGGCACACACTAGAGCCTTACAACCTGCTGACCATGGCTGCAGGTCCTGACCATCGCACCTCCTCACGCAGCTCATATTGCTCAATCAGCTTCTTAAGCCTTTCAGCGAGCTCCATATTCTCTTGACGCAGCTTAGAGTTCCGCTCATTATGCTGTTCCATCTGAAGCTGAATGTCATTCAGTGTCACCTGGAAGTGTGAAGTCACCTCTTTGCGCTTCTCCTCCTCCTCACGGGCCCGCTGCACACCTTCTTCCTGGGGAGAGAAGCCCCTGAGAACCATTACCCACAGCTCCTCAGCCAGTTGCACAAGGCTCCCCTAACTAGTCCACAGTGTCTCTGCCAACAATGTTCCCTGCTGCCAAAATGAAGCTCTGAGCCAGGCTTCAGGATGACATACAATGGAGTTTCCTAACACTCTCCTGTAAACGAGGTGACTTCAAGTCTCTCTAGAAAAATGCAACACACATGTTAAGCACCATTCTGAAGCAGATTGATCTCATGAAGTCTTGTTTTCAGATTTTAGACTTAGATTAATTTTTTGTATTCCTGTTTTAATGTGCTTTTGTCTTCCCTGTACCCTCCAGAGTTCAAAGTAATAAAATAGAGCTGGTAAAGCTGTGTACAATTAGGCAATCACACCACTGATGGGGTTGTACTGCCCCTTGTTGGAAGGCAACCTGGAAAAAGCCCATCAACAAAGCCAGGCATGGGAGGCAGGCCTGTGAGTTCAAGGCCAGCCTGGTCTATAGTTCCAGGCTAAAAAGACCAAGAAAAAAAAAAAAAAAAAAAATCAACATTTAAAATTTGCATAGTCTTTGACCAGCTATTTCACTTCTGAAATTTATTCTTCAGATAAATCCTACATAATTGACCAAAGATTAATATAATACATATATGCACATATACATACATACATACATACATACATGTAACAAGAATTTTCAATGCAGTGAAAATGTATGTCAAAAATTAGAAAAGGGGCTGGAGAGATGGCTCAGCATTTAAGAGCACTGCCTGCTCTGGCAGAGGACCTGGGTTCGATTCCCTGCACCCACATGGCAGGGGTGTGGTGGCACACTCTTTTAAGTCCCAGCACTTGGGAGGCAGAGGCAGGTGGATCGTTGTGAGTTTAAGGCCAGCCTGGTCTACATAGTGAGTTCCAAGACAGCTGGGGCTACAGGGAGACCCTGTCTCAAAAAGACTAAAAAAAAGGTAAAAAAAAAAAAAGGTATTATAAAAGTTTGTTTCCAGTTCAGCATTTAAAATTTGTAATCCCTTTCCCACCAAAATTTGAGATTAAAAACTCACTACTAATCAAAAAAAAAAAAAAAAAGGGATTTAAAAAGTTTGTTTCCAGTTTAGCATTTTAAATTTTTAATCCCCTTTCCCCCAAAAATGGAGATTAAAAACCCACTCCTCATTAAAAAAATAAAAAAAAAAAAATGCAATGGGTCCACCAGCCAATGGACTAGAACGTCTAAAACTGTGAGTTACGATAAACTTTTCCCTTGAAAGTTGCCTTGCTCAGTAACTGTAGAGGGAAAGCTGACACAACAGGGGGCTGAGGCTACTGAACCTGTTCTTCCAGCACTTCAGTCTCACACAGTACAAAACATAACCGCTTACAGAAGTTCTCTCAAAAGCAGGGTATTATTATTAGGGAGGTTTCTTTTTTTTCCTTTTTCTTTACTGGTAGAACTGGGACTGAACTACTTGAGACAGGGTCTGACAGCTTCTTAATTGTTGGAATTAAAGGCTTGGGTCTTTTTTTTTTTTCCCCCCAGCTGGCCTTGAACTCAAGAGATCTGCCTGCCTCTGCCTCCCCTGCTGGGATTAAAGGCATGCGTCACCATGCCTAGTAGGCCTTTTTTTTTTTTTTAGACTGGGTCATGGGGGCTGGAGAGATGGCTCATAGGTTAAGAACACTGGTTATTCTTGCAGAAGACCCAAGTTTGACTCCCAGCACCCACATGGCAGCTAACAACTGTCTGTAACTCCAGTCCCAGGGGATCCGACAGCCTCTTCTGACCTCCTCGGGCACTGCACGACATGGATGCACTTACCTACACGCAGGCAATACACACATACACATAAAATTAAAAAATAAATAAATAAAAATAGTTAAGATTGTCATGCTATGTGGTACAAGTTGGCCTGGAATGGACCTCACTGTGTAGCCCAGAATACAAGCTACTTTTCTTTCCTTCTTTCCTTCCTTCTTTCCTCCCTCCCTCCCTCCCTCCCTCCCTTCCTTCCTTCCCCAGCTGGCCTTGAACTCACAATCTATCCGCCTGCCTCTGCCCCTGAGTGCTAGGATCAAAGGCTTGTGCCACTAGGCTCAGCTGCAAGCTGCCTTAAAAAAAAAATTTATGCCGGGTGTGGTGGTGTAAACCTTTAATCCCAGCAGACACAGAGGCAGGAGGATCTCTGTTTGAGGCCAGCCTGGTCTACATAGGGAGTTCTAGTTCAGCTGGATCTACAGGGAGACCCTATCTTAAAAAAGACCAAAAAAAAAAAAAAAGAATTCTATTTTATATGTATGAAGGTATTACCTGCACATATAACGTATGTATATAAATGTATCCATGAATGCAATGCTTGAAGAGGTCAGGAGAGGGTGTCAAATCCTCTGGAATTGGAGTTACAGGCGGCCATGTGAATGCTGGGAATAGAACCTGGGTCCTCTACAAGAGCAGTCAATACTCTTAACTACTAAGCCAACTCTCAAACACCACAAGCTACTTTTTTAAGAAATAAGTTCATCGAAGACAAGCGGAGTCCAAGAGAAATGCCACCCATGGCCTACCTTGAGGGACCGGTTGTGTCGCTGTAGCTCTCGGCACAGGCTCTCTAGCTTGCTTCGGGCCAAGACAGCTTTGCTATGCTCACCACGCAGGTGATCTTTCTCCTGCACGAGCTGGCTCTGCTTTTTCTGCAAGAGTTTCATCTGCTTCTGTGAATTCCGGTGCTCCTCCAGCTGAGAACAAGGAGGTAGTGAGTGCCTAGTGAGGAACTTTCCACATGGCTCTAGGGATTCCTGAGCTGAACACTCCAGCTACAGTAGCTCAGACAAGACCACACTCACAGGCAATGCTATTGGAGATTTACATATTCCTCCCATTAACTTTTCAGACTAAGTAAAAGGCCTCTCTTAGGGATACAGGACTGGATAATCAGAGACTAGTGAGGTCAGAGTCAGCTGATCACAGCTTCCATCCCAGCTCTGACTCCACAGACACATTAGACTATCACATGGTCCCATCTTGCTGGACACCCACACCTTAACAGACTATCTACCAATCTATCTTCAACCAATTCAGAGCCTGTCAGCTGATTCCTTCAAGACTTTAGCTCTGGTTCAACACTCCTCATTCCAAGGCTGCATTCTCATTTGTGACTACTTCATAGTCTCCTGACCTCACAGTCCTTAACTGCTTTCAGAGACCACTCCTTTCCCCAGCTTAGTTCCTCTTCCACAATTATATCTAGTCTTGAACAGCAAGATATTCAAGAGTTCCTAATGTCCACCCTAAAAAAGTAAAAGGATGAAATTAAACTTTTTTGAGACAGGGTCATGCCATGTGACTCAGATTGTCCTTGCATTCTCTATGTAGCTCAGGCTAGCCTCAAACTCATGGTGAGCCTCTTGCCCCCGTTTCCCAAGTGCTGGGATCAAGGCACGTACTACCATGCCCAACTCTGAAATCTGATTTTTCCTGGGAGGTATTGGAGAATGAACCCAGACTAGGCTGGCACTCTACCACTAAGCTACTCCTCAGCCTAAAATACTAGAATTTCAACATGAAATCAATAGTAAAACAACCAATTTGAGATATTTTATTCTTTAACTTTAGGTCTTTGAATCTGATGTGGCTTACATTTCCAAATCCAGACTAATTCCACATTAATTCTCGAGACACTGCTCTCTTGGGCAGCACAGGTCCAGACTTTATTACTATCAGGAACCATATATTACTATCTCAATTTCAAGACCTCCAGGCCAGAACCATTACCACTTCTTTCTAGGTCATTCCATCAGAATTTTATGGTGCCCAGACTTCCACATCAATAACCAACCTTGCATCCAATTCTCCTACATAGCTTAGGTTTCTTTTTAAAATAAAAGGGGGTCAGAAGGTGTCAGATCCTCTGGAACTGGAGTTACAGGTGGTTGTTAGCTATCACGTGGGTGCTGGGAATCGAACCGACATCTTCTGCAAGAACAGTCAGTGGTCTTAACTGAGAAGCCATCTCTCCAGCCCCTTTAGCTTAGACTTCTTACACATTCTACCTTCCTGACCCTCTGAACCTCAACAAAGCCTCTTCTTGCTTAATTTGCACCAGCCAGGACTGAAGCAACCCTGCATGGAGACCCTCACCTTCAATCCACAGAGCCAATATTGGGAAGATCCCCACCACTTTCAAAACATGCTATTCACATTCCTTTTCCAGACTATTTTGACCTCCTCTTCAAATCTCCTTTACCCTAGATATAGCCATCTTTTTCATTTCCATGGGAAACCGGAAGAAACCAGGAGAGCAGTGGCACAGCTTCCCATCCACCAGCTCACTAGCACTTCTTAGACCTCTGAGGGATTGCACAGCATGGGCACACTTACATACATGCAGACCCATACACATTAAATTAAAAAACAAAATACACCCATACACATTAAATTAAAAAACAAAACAAACAAAAAACCACCAAAAACTTATTTGTATTTTATGTATACAAATGTTTTGCCTGCATGTATGTAAGTGCACCACATGTATGCAATGCTTGCAGAGGTCAGAAGAGGGCATCAGATACTGCTTTTTTGGGCAGCACAGGTCCAAACACTGGAACTGGAGTTGCAGTTAGCTGCCATGTGGGTGCTGGGAGAAGATCCAGTGCTCTTAACTGCTGAGCCATTTATCTACTCCATTCTTTTTCTTTTTCTTTTGAGACAGGGGTTCATGTAGCTCAGGCTGGTTTTGAATTCCTGATCTTGCCTCATCTCTAAATGCTGAGATTAAAGTGCGCACCATACCTGGAACATTTGGTATTTTTTTGTGGTGCAATTTAGAGAATATCACCTATGAATTCCTGTCTCTAAAGCTGAACCTGAACCTGATCAAGTGCCTAACTAAAGCGAAGTTTCACTTTACTTAGAACTAAGGCAGTAAAGACAAGCGCCACTGCAAAGGCGACAAACTGAAGGTGGGGGAACACGTAAGGGGTCTGACCACATGGTATCTGGGTAACTCCAAGCCAGGAGTTAGAGTTCTACCATCTGGGAATCATTCTTCAAGAAACTTCTTCCAAGGAATATAAAGTTTCTCCATTTACTGTCAAGACCTAGGAGCTGGCTTTTCATGTAACAGATAGGAGAAAAGTTTCAGGAAAGGATGAACAAGAATTAAGCCAGTCACCTGCTCCTGCAACCCTCGATCCCTACCCCAGGTAGCCTGCTCATTTTTCAAAGGCATTGAGGGTAGAAGAAGGGGAGAAGGGACTGACCAGTTCAGCATATTTCTTGCACAGTGCAGCCAGCTTCTCCTCTGGGGTACTCAGCGTGTTTAGTGTCTGCATCAGCAAAGTGATCTCCTTTCCTGTAAAGTACAGGGAGCAAAGGCATGCACCTGCTTCTTGGGGTGTCCCTATAGGCCCATGCCCCCACAAGGCCACGCCCCCATACTCTGAGTGCTGACGTAGCCTTCTCTGTCTGTAGCCTGGTGCTTCAAGAAGGTTTGGGACCACATCAATCCTATTATCACTGCAGCATTAGTGTCCATGGTGCCAGTAGCAAGTGTTCATTAAATGAACAAATTAATCTCTGGAATCTCCTTGGTAAGCATTAATGCTCCAAGGAAAATTTACTTTAAAACTATCAGTTTTATCAGTCGGGCGTGCACATGCCTGTAGTCCCAGGACTCGGGAGGTAGAGGCAGGCGGATCTTTTTGAGTTCAAGGCAGCCTGGTCTACAAAGTGAGTTCCAGAATAGCTGGGGCTACAGGGAGACTCTGTCTCAAAAAGACCAAAAAAAAAAAAAAAAAAAGACCAAAGCAAAAAAACAACCAAAATGAACAGGTCTTACTTATCCCTGAAAAATCAACTCTTATCAGATATAGCTACACTGTTATGTTTAAAATGAATGTCCCAGTCAGGTGTGGTGGCTTACCTATAATCGAAGCACCCGGGAGGCAGAGGCTAGGCAGATCTCTATGAGTTGGAGGCCAGCCTGTTCAGGGGCTACATAGTAAGACAGTGAAATCTTGTCTCAAAAAAAAAAGAAAAAAAAAGAAAGAATATCCCTTTGATATATGTGACCCTGAGACTAAAAAAACAAGTCCCTCTTTAAATCAGGATAGGTCAGAAGTGGAAGGAATAGGGACCTGGTTATGTCACCTAACCTAGATTGGTTTTTTCAGAGGGTCTTGCTATGTAGCTCAGGTTGGCTTTGAACTCACCATCCTCCTGCCTCTGCTTCCCCTCTCCTTCCATTACAGGAATATACTACCACATCCATCTTAATCCAGACTCTAAATTCATACACCTTCACCATTAATCCCACTATTAGATAACTACCATTGCCTTTTCTTTTTCATATTTTATTTTTATTTTATGTGTATGATCGTATTGCCTGAATGTGTGTAAGTGCATCTGTTTGTGCAATGCCCCCAGAGCTGAGAAGAGGTTGTCTGACCCCCTGGAACTGGAAGTACAGACCGGACAATTGTTAGCTGCCATGTGGGTGCTAGGAATCAAACCCAGGTCCTCTGCAAGAGCAGCCAGTGCTCTTTAGCCCGCCTTTTCTTTTTTTGAGACAGGGTTTCTCTATGTAGCTTTGTCTGGTCTGGAACTTCCTACATAGATCAGGATGGCCTTGAACTCACAAGAGATCCCCTTGCCTCTGCCTTCCGAGTGCTAGGATAAAAGACATGCCACCAGGCATGGTGGTGCACGCCTTTAATCCCACTACTCGGGAGGCAGAGGCAGGCTGATCTCTGAGTTCAAGGCCAGCTTGGTCTACATAGTTCCAGAATAGCTGGGCTACAGGGAGACCCTGGCTCAAAGATAGCCACCATACCTGGCTGCTTGTGGCTGCTTGTGTCTAAGTTAGGATGCCTTCCTAATCTGCCTCCTTTGGGTCCTCACTGTACACAGCTCAGACCAGGTCTGAACTGTCAGCCCTTGGGAGCCACAAGAGGTTAGCATGGAGACAGCGAACAGTGACAGAAAGACTAAATCCAACCTATGGGTGGCTCTGCTTGGTTCCTACTATTTTAGTTGCCAATTACAGAGTTACAGACAGGAAACTAAGCAGGTGGATACGGCAGGCCCTCTCTTGGTTCCCAAGAAGCTGGTGGCTTACCTGGTTTACATTGACATTAGAGATTTCAACCTTTGTGTAGCTCAATTCTACGCTGAAGAGATCCTGCATTCTGAAAGCTGTGACCTTACATCCCTGGCTTTGATTATACTAGGGACCTGCTGCCTTGAGAAGTAGGTACCTCAGAATCCTGGCAGAGTAGGCTAGTCCACTGAATAACAGGTCCAAACTTCCTCCCCTCACCAGTCTTATAAATAGTTGCTCACACTCACCCAGACCCTTGGCTTTCTTCTTTTCTTGTGGCCTTCGGTGGTCGCGGTCTCCCACCTCATCATTTGCCCGGATCTCTTCTGTGCCTGTCTCCCCTTTGGAGGGCTCCTTCTCGCCATTGACTACTGGAATCCCTGGCTCAGGCTCCCCATTCCTCGCTGCATAGGTCCGGGCCTTCTCTGCATCTTCAGGTTCAGCGGGCTCACCGTGTGCTCCATCGTCACCCGAGCCTCCCTGATTGTTGTCTACACAGTATGTACTTAGAATGTCTTCTAACTGGCGGCTCAGCTCCTCAGAGACATCACAGAGGGCCCCAGACTGAGCTGTTTTGGCTTGAGCCCCTGCAGCAAGAAAGGGTAAGATATAGAATGAGAAAGAAGATGGTTATAACCTGAGATTTATTTTTAGGTCCAAACAAACTCACTAGGTTGATCTAAATACTGCTTTAACTTCCTTCTTTTTTGATACAGGATATCAATATGTAGCCCTGGCTGGCACTCACTATATAGACCAAACTGGCCTTTAGCTCAGAGATCCACCTGCCTCTGCCTCCGGAGTGCTGAAATTAAAGGCATGCACTATCAAGCCCCATTAAATACTGCTAATTTCTTTATGCCTCAGTGTATTTACTTACAATATGGAATAAAATATTTCTTAATATCACCCAAACGTGTTTGTTATGACAAGTGAACTCAACTATGTAAAGCATCCAACATGTAAAGTTGGCTGGCATGTAGCAGGAACTCAACTTCCAATCCATCTTCTTCCCTTCAGAACCAATTTTCCGTTATTTTATAATAATCTATAGTAATCTATAATATTCTAAACACGAAGGGCAATTACACTGCCACCCCCCACCCCTCCAGTGACAAGTGTTTTCTGAGGATATGGCTCTGCTGCTGAGGTGTCTCATTTGAATTAAACCAGTTTCCAAGAGTTCTGTTCCAGGGCTAAGAAACATGGACACAAAAAGATCAGACTGGGCACTGTTTCACGCAGGATTTCTGCCTTCCTGGGGCTGGGGCGGGGGCCGGGGCCTGGGCCTGGGCCTGAACCTCAACCTCAACCTCAAAAGCGAGGCCAGTACACAACTCCTCCCCCTGCCCACTGGACAAGCAGGGCTGACACACCCTCAGTCTTCCTAGGAGCCTGGTTTGTGGGACCTTCAGCTTCTGCAGCAGGAGCCGACTGGCTGGACCGTCTCTGGGCTCCCTCCGGTCCTGCTTCCGGTTGCCCTGGACTGCCTTTCGGGTTGGACTGCTTGGAAGGCCCGTTCTTTTTGTCTTGGTTCTTCATTGTGCTCTGCTATGTTAAGGAAGAGGGCAGATCCTTTAGGAACAAGTACAGTTGCTATTTTCCAGACTCTGGCGCACAAAGCTCCAGGCCAACTGGCGAGACTTCGGGGAGGAGGCCGAGGGTACTCGGGACCCTCCGGGGTGGCCCAGGAGGCTTCGGGGCGCAGCTCTAGAACACGGGAGGCGGCGGGGAAGGCCTCCTTTTCCCCCAAAGCCATTTCCCGGCACCACACGGCCCCTTCTGGGCGGTCGCAGCCCGGGATTGGCTCCGTGCCGCAGACTGACGTGGCGGGACCCTCCATCCCCGACCCCTCCCCCGTCCCCCAGGACCCACGTGGGCTATCCGCCCCCCCATCCCCTGCCCCTCGGAGCCACCCACGCCCCGCGCGCCCGCCAGCACGCCCGCGCATGCGCAGTGTGCGGACACCGCCACGGACCACGACCAGAATTGATGAGATTCTCCTGCGGGCCCTGCATCCTGGCCAAAAGACCCTCAACCTGTCTCGTCCCATCAGCCGCCGCTGAACGCACCTCACCGCCGACGTCCAACGGCGTCCTCCACTCGGACCGCGCACCGGAAACCCCGGGTAACCGCTGCCGGCCGGACCGCCCACTCCCGCTGCAGCCAATCGCCGGCAGGCACTGGCGCTGAGCTTGCTGGGAAAGATGAAGCAAAGGCGCTTTGGAGGCGGGAGCGGAATGGACTACGTGTCCATCAGTGCACCGCTTCAGGCCACAACTCCCGACATGCAATAGGAAGGGCTTTAGTCCTACCAGCTACCTCGCAGGTCCGAAATGATGTCATTCTGCCCGGGTATCCACGTCGGCCTAGTTTCTTGCGCGAAGCCAGGTAAACCTTGGCGCCTGGCATCATCAAGTCCCTAACTGTTAACAAGTATATCTAGGGATTCTGAGTCACTAATTTGTTTTGCGACTGGGCATTTTTTTCCCCTTTATTTTATTTGCTGTGTATGAGTGTATTGCCTTGCATACATGTAAGTGCACCCACGTCGTGCAGTGCCCGCGAAGGTCAGACGAGGGTGTCGGATACACTGGAACTTGGAGTTAAAGAGGAGTGATAGCCGCAGTGTGGGTGCTGGGAATCGAACCCGGGTCCTCTGCAAGAGCATCCAGTGCTCTTCACCGCTGGGCTCTCTCTCCAGCCCATCTAATGGAGGATTTATAATCATTCGAATACCGTGTACTTTTCGGCTATCTAGTAGCCGAGAAAAGCACTGTACTGTGCACTGAAATTTAGCACAGTATGGCAAAAATGAGGTAATTTGTTTTAAGGCTACACCAGTACTGAGTGGTTAAAGCATCTTCAAAGCTCCAAGCCTGACACCAGTATTTTAGCTTCTCCCTACATTGACTTTCCCCAGAAGAAATAATTACCATCTCAGGCTCTCTCTTCAGCACTCTCTTCATCCCAGTCCAGCAAAGGGATCATTGCAGAGCAAGTTTGGCCTCAGGCAGATTGGTGAACTCCTAGCTGTCCACACCCCGCCCCCCCGCCGCCCCCTCCCCCAAAG